CATGTTAATCCCTGCAGTGGGAGAGGCATTATCCTTGTGGTTACAGAAAGAACAAGGGTCTTGACTTACTCAAGGTCAAAGAAGAAATTTGTGAACTGTGCCTTGTAGCATCTCAGCCATTTCACTCTGCCTTAGCACAAGCCACAGCATATGGCAGAGAATCTGTGCAGTAGGTTTTTGCAAGTGCAAGAACAGAGAAAACTCTTGGGAGAGTGGAATGTCTGATGCTGAGGCAATCACAGATTCTGTAGAACATGCAGGCTTTTTTATTCTCTTCATGAATTAAATTTAGAATGCTGTATATAGTTCAGTACTTCTCACACATAAATCTACCTATATTGAGAAACATGCTTTAAGTACTGTCTTTTAACTTATGGGAATCCGTATTTTATTGAAAATCTTTGTATTGTGGGTGAGATTTCCATGTAGTCCTCCTCCATTATCGTCTGTGGCAGTTTGAGGCTGGACAGCAAAGAGAGTTTAATTGCCAAATGATACTTTTGAGGTTCTCTTCACAAGTGAGGTTCTGGCTCTGCAGGATATTCCAATACCATGTGGAATCGAGGTGTGGCAGGAAAGGCAGGGCATGGAGGGAAATGCAAAAAGTGTGGCAGTGAGGTCACGGCGCCCAATTCGCTGTCTCTGCATGGCTCAGTTTTTGCCTGGGGACCAAAACCACCCCCCAAAGCCCTGCCTGCATGCTGCCTTGTAATCTGTTGAGGAAAAGCTGGCTCTGTGCACATGGAAAGCTACTGGGTTTAATGTATACCAATGACAAGATAAAGGGTTTCCCATATTTGTTTATAGCTTGTTGTTACTTCCAGTAGTGCAGAGTGGGTTCTGTTAGGAGCAGGGAGTGAGGAAGGTAAGGGGATGCTGGGTGCTGTTGGGTTTGTGCTTTTGGGGCTGGGAGTAAAATTTCAGCATAAAAATTAATCTGCACCTTTATTCGTTCTCATGGAGGGGGGGGTGGTTTTCTTCACAGAGCAAAGGTTAAGTAATGCATTTGTATGGTAAATGTCGTAATTTCTCAGTTGGCTTGGTTTGAATAGTCAGTAATTATTCTCTGTGATGCTTGTGACCATATTGAGATTTTATTCAAAAGCCATTGAAATAAGCACAAGGGGGAAAGTTACTATTTTTGTTTTGTTATTGTTTTGTATAGGCCACATGCACAATGCTGTTCTTCATATTTGAAATCCCTTTCAAAGATATTTCAACTCAAAACACACAATAGAACCAGAGGATCCAGTGATTATGGCTGGTAATGATATTGTGGATTTAGGTGCTGACAAAGCCTAGCATAATCTGTTTTAATTAACTAATTTTTTTTTCCTCAGTATTATGGTTATAATCATACTCAAGGACCTTGTACCAAAATTCTTCCTTTTATAATAAAGTCAAAAAGAAGTGACCAGTTTCAGTTTATGTACAAAAAAAAACCCCTATCCTTCAGAAAAAAAAAAAAAAATTCCTTTAGAAATAATAGCCATGAGAAAAATGTGTCCACCCTAAAATTTTTAATCCTCTAAAAAAATACGTGTATGCTTCAGTGGGTCTTTCCACATGCATAAAGCAAACAGGGTACAGACTGTAAATTTTAAAGAGCAAGAGAATTAAAAAATCCAAATCCCCAGTACCTGGAATATAACATGTACTTTTTTTTCATAATGTACATGAAATTTGACTGTGCTGTTAGCAGTGGGTCACCGGTAGGCATTTTGTGTTTTATAATAGCAGCAAACGAGTGAGATAAGCTTAGAAAACTTTGAAGCAGGTTGGAAAATAAGAAACAATCAGTAGCATAACTGAGAATGGGTTCCACATGTAGCAGGGCACACAGTGCATGGGGAATTTTCTTTGGGAGCTCAGCCTTGCAACAGGCACCATGTTCCGTGTGAGTTTGTCTTGTCTTTATGTTCTGAGAAGACCTTTCTTTCCATAATTTTTATTAAACAAATAGTCTGCATCTAAACAGTTTACTACATTAATTTTCAGCACTGTGGTTGTATTTCTGTCAGTAGAGGTTGTGTATTTTTTGTAATTTCAATGCTTGGTGAAATTCACGTTCTGTAGTCTTAATCCTCCAGTGGATTATCCAGGAGTATCCATGGCAGTTTATATTTTGGTTTTTAGGAGAAATATTTTCTTGGCTGCTCATTAAATGAGGAATCCTCTCCCGAGAGTATTTATTTCAACAGACTGTAATTGAGGGGATGTACTTCACAAGGAATATATGAATATATGCGAATAAAGAGAGACTTATCATTTCAGTCACACTTTAGTTTACCTTGGGAAGTTAGTTTCAGTATGTAAATACGTGTATGCACCAGCTGATGCAAATCCTTGAGCAAAGGAGAAGGAATTTGCAGTTCTTCTCTTTTATACACATTGAATTTCTCCAGGTTTCTCTTCTGTGAGGGCCCAAGTGCTTTGCAGTGCTTGGCTGCTCCAGATTCGAGCCATTTTTGGTGCTCCTTGTCTGGAGAGGATCCCAGCTGTGCTGCCTGTGCTTAGCACAATAGTGAGGTTAGATCAAGGCAACCATGAGGAGGCCTTCGTAGTTTGCAGAGAAAGACAGATTGCATTGCTGTTAGTAAGAAGGTGAATTTTAAATAAAGCCAATACAGAAGATTAGAGAATGGAAAATTGCCGAACTGATCATATTTAAACGTATTAGAGACAAAAAATGGTGGAATCCAATACATAAATATTTACAGGATGTAAAAAATGAACAAAGGTGTCTAGAGAAATGGAGTGTGGGTAATCAATAAGTACTTCTTTAAATATGCACTGTACAAAGTAAACAAAAAGGAAAGAAAATATTGATCAGCATGTGCTGAAAGCTGGTGACAGGGATTAATCTGACTGCACAAAAGACTTAAATCTTCATATAGTTGTTTCAGCAAGATAATATTGTCTGGTCTCTGAATTGCTTTTATCTTGGAAAGGCTTATTCTAAAGCATCTTTAACAAGGCAGTGATCGCTACTCAGGACTGACAAAAGAGCACAGCTGTATTAAACTCCCAATTTCTCAAAAAAGAAATAGCAAGAGAAAAAATAAAGTATTTAATGAGGACTTCTTTTGAAAGAAAATGAAAATTAAGCCTAGTGCACGCATTGCTTAAATCAGTTTATTTTCATGAACAGATTTTTTAATTGTTATTTATATGGAATGTTTGAGTGAAACTGCAGTTCATAACTATGTATGGTTTGCTTAGGGAGTAGGTGCTGACATCATTATTCAGGCAGAACAGGTCAACAATTGCTGAAATTAAGAATTTTTAAATGAGTTTCAGTGTGATTGCATCAATGTAAAAATTCAAATTTGTTGGATTTGTGTATTACTGTGGAAATGGAAGGTGGGTAACTGTGTTTCCACAATTGCTTTTAACAGCAAACAAATAAATAAAGCAAAAGACATTAAACCCCAAACATTTCATTCAGTGCCAGTAAGGATTTACTGTCTAGATCCAGATTTTGTACCTCCCATTGAGGAATAGGCCTAAAGCTGTACTGGAAGCACTTTTAGTGCAATGTGAACAGGACTTCCTGTTGATTTACAATTTTTCCAGTTATATTTTAGACAGGTGAAAAGTCTATTTGCTTCTGTTTTATTTTTAAGATAGTGTTTTAGAAGTACAACTTCTGGAATTTCAAATTTAAATGATGGGGAAATGTCAGCAGAAGCTGAGGACATTTTCTGTCTTAGATCACTGTGGTGTTGTTTGCGAGAGAAAGTAGATAAGTAATTAAAAATCAAGATTTGATACTGTAACTTTATTTTAATAGCTTACAAAATAATAACTGGGTCTTACAAGAGACAGATGCTTGTGTTTAAGATTGCAAATGTTTAGTAACAGCACTGTGATATTCATTCTTGAAAAATTATTAATTAGTACTGATTAGGGTACTGCACATAGTCTTTAGTGATTTGCCTAGATTTACCTTGGTGCTTTCATACAATATTTTTATGAACCTGAGAGTTACAAACTTGGAGCTGTTGCCACCTACTTGACGTGTGCCTGGTGTGCACATCTGTGGGGGAGCCTGCACTGAGGAGCTCCAGCCTAGGAGGGAAATGTGGGTTTGTCAGCATGCAGGGCTTGTACTGTGCTTTGATAATCCCACTGTTGGCTTTCCACCTGGAATTTGTGGATGAAAATACTGGTTTGTACGTCACATGTTTAGAGAAACTGATCTTTAAAAACAGCAATCTGTTTGGCATGTTAACATTTTGAACTAGAAAAGTGGTTGGAAGAATAAACATAAAATACAACACTTAAGGAGCCGTTGAATTGAATGTGTGAGTCTGCAGTTACTTATCACCGGTTGTCTGCTGTCATGAATGACTCTTTTCTCTTATTTCCTTAGCTTTTTTCTTTCCTTTTTTTTTTTTTTTTAACTAAACACCTATCAAAGCAATATCTGTTGCTCCATAGCAAAATAGTCATTGGGTTCCATGTAAGTTCATTGAGTTGATTTTTACTCTGGCATGTTTTGCATAAGCTTTAGGACATGAGAGTAAGGCATTGGAATCATCACTCAAATAAAAAAACCTTACATTTTTGGGGTAGGTAAAGGAGAGCTCTAACTCTTGTGGGACATTAGAAGAGCTCTGATTGTTATTTCCTTAAGCCAGAAAAACTCCATGGTGGTAGGGCTCTTTATCCTGTTGGTGGCAAAATCTTTGTTGAGAAAAGCTGAAAAACAGCATATAGGGCAGAGAAAAGATTAAACTGCCCCGATTGTCATTAATATGTATCTCTCAGAGTGTACTGGGGCCATTCTCTAAAACTTGCGAGGAGGCCACAGCTGCATGAACCTTACTAGAGGAGGAGCTCAGAGAAGGGGTTCCTCCATTCTGCGGAGGAATTATCCAGCCTAGACCTCCTAGTATCTGTCCATTACTGGTGAAACCATGAGGTTCCTAGGCTGCAGCTCCTTTTGGCAGGTGCTGTGTGCTGTGCTTCCCTAACCCTGCCTTTGCTGTCCACAGAGAGCGAGGAGGTGTACCAGCGCCAGGTGCTGTCCATCGCCTGCATCGTCTTCGGCATCGTCGTGGTGGGCATGCTCTGTGCAGCCTTCTACTTCAAAACAAAGTAAGAGCCTTCCTCTGCTGTGTCTGGGGTTTAGCTGCTCTCCTTTTTACAGCCTTAGAGTTCTTCAGCTTCTCCCCTCCTTGTGAAGTTGCTGTTATCTCTGGTCTGGCTACAGCAGCTCCCCATGGCTGCACTAAGTCCTCCCCAAAACATAAACAGTAGCAATATGTGTTCTTCTTACTGTTTTCTGATATCATAAAAGAACAGATTGTGTCATATCCAGTTTTTTTTTCTTTTTTTGACAGTAATAATTTTGTGTCATTTACCATCAGTGCAATAATCACTTTGCTCTTCTGGAAACAATAGTTTAAACATACCATCTCCTTTTTGCATTTCATTTCATATCCCTGAATGTCCATTTCTGTATGCTGAAAACAAAAGTAAAGTTAGAAATGCAGGAGCAAGTCCTCTGCAGATATCTGTAACCTGTAACTAATACAGCAGCCTGTTGATGAAGATGCATATGAGTGTCTGTAACACAGAAGCACTTTGTCCTATTCAAGCAGTAAAATCATCTGGACTAAACTAGTTTCAAGTGAAATACTTTCCACTCTATTCTTGTTATCTTCCCAACTGAATATTATTTTATAATATTTATTGTTATGCGTGTAAACTGAGTTGCAAAAACCTCATAGCAGTTACATGACATGCTTGTCAGTGCCCCTGTATCAATAAATATGTTCTGTATGGTAGTCATCCTTCATTCCTGTTCCAGCTGGAGTTAATGAGAAAACACAAATCAATATAAAAAAGTACCCACATGAGGCTAGTCAGGGTGGCTGAGCATCAAAAATGTGAAGGTTGGCACTATTTAAAAGTTTGGATGTTTACCTGAAACCCCCTTTCTAGAATTTATTTTAATGTCTAGGAAATCTAATGAGGATTGGGTTTTATTTAGAAAAAAAATTTAATTGACCTTTCTATCTGTGGGGAGAAAAAAAAAAAAGTCACCAGGTCTTTTTTACCCCTCTTTCTTCCCCTCAGACTTCAGGGGTAGGCCATGAGTGAAGATTTGAGTCAGTTCACATTTTTTATAAATTATTCTGTTGTCTTGAGGGATTTTGTTTAATTGTTCTGTGGACATCCAGAGTGACAGTGATGCTGGCTGGGAAGGACAGACTGGCAGGACAGTTCCTCCCTGGGAGCTCCTTCGTTGTAGTGTAAATGTGAGCAGAGACAGGCGCTTTGGCACCGCCATTAGGAATGTCATTATGCATTTTAGATCTGCAGATCTTAGAAGAAAGTGAGTGAGAATCTCCCTGAAAAGGCTTGAAGGTTTTGCTGATGAAGAGAGTCTCAGAAAGGCAGGATGGGATTGTCAATAGGAAGAACATGCAGCCAGTGACTGAGCATACTGGGAATAAAAAACCCCTGTTATTCACAGTGCCCCTCTTGGTCCTGCACTGCTGTAGGGAATGGTGAGAGCTGGGCTGGAACAGCCTGCAAAACACCCTGGCTTTGATCAGGTGGTGAGGAGAGCCAAGTCTGAAAATAATGAGTGGAAATAACACTTGAAAGAGGAGCTTACAGGACAATAGTGCATCATAACTCAGGAGCAGGTGAGGGTGTTGGCTCTGGGGCTTTGTCTGATTATAAATATGAGAGTTACTGAGAAGAGCTGAAGTGGGCTGGTGCCAGGCTCTGGGAACTGAAGTTTGGGGAGTTATGAGAAAATGAGCAGCTCTGGTTCAGTCAGGAGGCCTCAGACAGTGTGCAAGGGAGACTGATCAGTCCCAACACCCTGGCTGTGGCTCCATCTGGTGCTGTCCAAAGAGGAAATAGAAGTGTCTAGACTGGGTCTCATGGAGCCCAGGTAAAATTGTAAATGTAACATTGGCCAGTGTCTGAAGAGGGTGTAAAACCCAACAAATTTCAAGTGCCTCAACACTTACCATATGTTAGTTTTGAGTCAGCAGGTTTTTGGGAGCTTCTTTATCAGGCATATGGACCCTGACTGTGCTTAAGGGTTATCAAAGCATTCCTCCTGCATGGGGGTTATCTTGGGGTTTCATTTGATGTACAAAAAATTTAGAATACTGCAAACAGATATAGAAACTCTGAACAGTGCATCCATTAAGAGAAAAGTTTCCATGAAGATCCTGACTTATTTAGTCCAACAATTCTATAACACCAGCTGCTAGAAATGACACTTCCCTATATGCCATTGAATTAAAAGTCCTTTTTTAAAATAGATTCAATCTGAGAAAGTTTAGAACTATAATTAAACTCTGTGCCCTTCCAATTATTCCTTTTAGGTTAATCAAGAAAGTGCTGGAAGTCTTAGCAACAGATGAAGAGTACAGTAATGGGCTGCCCTTTACAGCTTAGACTTTTACAAATGACTAGTGACTTTATTTCTTGCTGAAGTAAGAACACTTCATTGCCAAACAACTCTAACGTAGAACACATAAGGCCCATTTGTTTTGAAAACAAAACTTATAAAATAAATTTATTCATCAGCAAGTAACTTTGAATTATTAATGGTTTCTAGTTTTATAGCTGTGCATCCTATAGTTTGGCCAAATGAATATGCATAAACCTGATATTAATGTTAGGTTGCATGAACATAAAAGCAAATTAATGATTGGATTGTTTTTCTCAGCAAATTACCTTCAGGAATTTCAATTGTAATGTTAAAGACTGCAGTAGTGAGGCTGAATTTTTGCAGTTTACTTACGCGTGCTTGTAAATATAGAAACAACTCTATTTATTTTTATAAAGAAATGCAAATACTGTTTTGTCATTTTCCTGATTAAATTGTCATTTTGTATGTATATGAGAGGTTCCCAAAATCTGATGCTGTGATCATCTTTCACTATCATTGTTCATACCTTACATAAAGTCGTGCAAAAAATTCCTGAGGATTCCATAACTATTCTGGAGACGAAGCAAGAGGCTTGTTTTCCAGTAGGACGTAGGAATAGATGTGCTCATTTCCTCAGTGGATGTAATTTAGCTGGTAGAAAATAGTAGAAAATAGTTGTTCCTAAAAATGCTAAACTTGCTTTTATGAATCTCCACTGGAATTTTATGAAAAGCTGAAGAGCTCATTTAGACATTTTACAAATGAAATTTTTCAATTTCATTTGATTCAAAAATTAGGGGATATTAAAAACATTTTTAAAAGAGATGTTTCAGACTCAACTGACTAATTTAATTTGACACTGTATTCCTTCAGATTATATATTTATTCAGATTATTCCAATGTGAATTCTACCAGTTTTGGCTAATGAAAATCTTGAATGTTTTTGGGGAATTATTTTGAGAAATTATTTCCTCACCTACCTCTATTCAAAGATTTTACTAATTATGAGCTCCTAGCAATACTCAAAACATGCCACTCATATTTGTAACATGCTTACAATACGAATTCATTCCTTTCCATTTGTTTCAAGATAGGATGCAAGTAGAAAGCCTAAGAGGTGCTTAGAGTCCTGGATTTGTTATGGCTCATGACCTGTACTCAGGACACGAGCTGTAACAAATACTTCTAAGCAGGTTATTACAGTTTGTTGAATTTAAGCAAATGCTTACATTGTGTCATACTGAACCAAAATGAAGGGACTCAAGAAATATTAGAACTATGTTAATAAAATTGAATATCTGAACTGTGATACTTCTCACCACTTACTTACATATTGAGGGAACTTGTCCTCTCTCACAGGCCCCTCCACAGAACACATAAGTCCTTTTCCTCTGCTTTCTTATACCTTCCAGCAGTAGACAGAGATTCCACTGCAAATAAGAAATTAAAATTAATTTTATATTTCCTTCAGTGTCAAATTCTCTGTCTGACACAAGATCCTATCAAGCTTAATGATGTCATAAGGCTTTCCAAAATCAAACCAGAAATGTTTCAAAATGCTGCTGAAGCTGCTTTGCTGAAATTTAGATTTCAATATAGAAAGGCCATATTTTCTTTATCTCTTCTAAATACTTGCCAGAAATCACTTCCTTCGGGAATCTGGCTCAGCACCAGTTGCTGTCCAAAACCTGCTGGTGGTATAATGAAATGCTGCTGCTGGTGAGTCCCTGACATTACTGGGTTGTTTCCAAGGACGTTGTAGGTTCACTGCTGGAGATGCATCTTCTGGGGAGAGAGAGAAAGCAGGGAAGGAAAGAATTAAAATGGTATTGTGAAGATTTTGCTCATCATTGTTTAAAGCTGATAGTCCCAGACAATGTAACTTATCACAAAAAAAAAAAAAAAAAAAAAAAAAAACAAAAAAAAAAAAAAGAAACTGATAAAAGAACTTAAATGTATTTTGCTAACAGTTTTTGCCCAGCTGAGATAACTTTTTGCAGAAGATAAAAGCAATATTTAAAGTTTACTGTCTCATATCCTCTGTCATGTACAGAACTTAAAAACTGTTTGTCACTTCCACTCAGTGTAGTGTGGCAGAAACAGAAAGACTTTGTTAACAGTATAGTTATCTCCTGAATAATGCAAGGGATTCATCCAGTGGTATTCCTAGCTCTGACAGGGAGGATTATAGTATAATAACTCAAAAACACAGTCTCAGTGGCCCTACTGATGTTTTTTCCAGGTTTAAGCATATAAGCAGAAGCTGCTCAATACAAGATGTGTTATAGGTCAAGTCTAATCAGCCAGCAGAAATCTTTGATTCTTCATCAATTTTTATAGCCAGCAGGGCCTAATGCCCGTTTTATTTGCCAAAACCTTTTTTCCAAATCAGAGCAAAATGCTTTTTTATTATTCAGACTGACTTGCAAGCTATTGTTAAATGTGCAATAGATGGCCTTACAAAACTCTGCAGTGGCACAACGAGCACACTATTGTAGTAATCTGAGAATAGAAGGTATTTTAAAACACAAGAGAGGGTTTTTTTCCCCTTTGTTAAGCCTTGCCAGGAAACAACGGCTGCATTGGAATATCAGACATTAGTGAATTAGCTCAGCTGGCTCATCTAGCACGGTGAAGTTTTGAACAAAGGGAGCTGTGGCTATAAAAGTATCATGGCTATAGCAGAAGATCAAGCGAGCTCTTTCTTACGTGAATTTTATTTCTCTCTGCAGGAAACAAACCAAGCAGATTCACGAACAGCTGAAAGAAACACAGAATAGGAAAACCTACAGCCTGAATGCTTCCAGCATGATGGCAAAGTCGGAGTGTATGGCACAAAGCCAAGTCCAGCTGCAAAATGTAAGTAATCCTGCCAGCTACAGCGCTTAATAGCCTGGCTGAGTTCCTGCTGCTGATGGCAGCACATCGTCATGCTGCTATTAACATCTGAGCAATGGGAACCACAATTCTCACCTCTTTCATAAAATGTCTTCCATCAGGCCTCTTAATGGAAAGCAGGGATTTTTTTCTGAAGTTATTTCAGTGGATCCTGGTACATTTTGTTCATGTGGCAGACTTTGCTGAGCACCCCCAGCTCTGCATTCAGCAGTGGAGATTGCTGTTATAGTTTGCTGCAATACCTGAGGTCATACATGACTGCATGTCTAGTGAGGGTCCTTGAACTTCAGTGATGCCATGCCTTCCAATAATTTATGAACCTGCATGAAAAAACATAGAGATTTGTCACAGTTAATTCAGAGTAAATTCCAAATCTAGAACTAAATTTACACATGTAAACAAATGCCCAAGGGAAGACCGTGCAGATGGTCTCATTTTTCTGGGTCTTTATTTAAAGGTACTTTAATTTACAGAAAGAAATTAGTCTGTTCAAATTAAATTTGAAATATATTTAATCATTTTCTGAATGTAATTATATGTAAGTCATTACAATCTCCCAATCATGAAATATGTAAAGCGTGTTTGAAATAAGGAACTTCAAGACAACTAATTTGTATTTTTTTAGGAAGATATTTTCCAGTATATGTCATTTTCTTTCCCCTGCTCACACACAATCAGCCCTGTCTTACTTTGAACAAAGCCTTTGGAAAAAGGATCCTGGTAAGCAATATAATAGGAAAATATAAAAGATGTATTAAAACCTTTCTAAATTATTAACTCATTTTCTTTAAAAACAAGTATCTTACTGTTGCTTAAAGGAATGACTATCTTATTTGCCAGATTCCATCAAAATAGTGGGAGTTGAGCAAAAGTGAGCACTCATGCCCACCTATGCAAAGACTTCTAAACTCCTAGTTCACATCCAATTAATTTAGAGATAAATGTAAGCCCTTTTAACCAATTTAGAGTAAGCAGAGCCTCCCTGCTAAGACGCAGAGGCTGTGAGAGCATTGCTTGTGTTCACTAAAATTCTGTATTCACCATTGTGGTGCTCCTATGCTCATGATATGCTTTGTAATTCAGGGAAAATATACTCTTTAAAGAAGGAAGATAGCTCCACTAAATTGACATCATCACAATTTGGGGAACCTTGTGCAATTTTTTCTCTCACTTTCAGTTCATTCAGCCTTATATTATTTCTAGCCCCTAAAAGAAAGAGCTGTTGGGAGTGTTGTTGGTTGTATTGAGGCAACAAAAGGTAAAGTTCATGATCCTTTTGTTCTGTCTTATGAAATAAACCTTGGTTAACACTAAGAATATGCTCTTTGGCATTTTCTCACTGTATTGCAGTGCAATATTTTGTCATTTTCTTTTGCCATAACCGTAGCCATAATGGCTGAAATAGCAGTTCATACATTCTGGACATAGAGATGGAACACCATCATTATATTTACTATTTTAATTCAAATTTGATTTTCAGTTTTTATTTCTGTTCAGCCTGACATTATGAGTGCTGGTAATTAACACACCATTTTCTCGTCCTTGTGGCTGTTGGCAGGCAACTGTTTTCTCCTTGCCATTAATGCATTCTCCCTTTGGGAAGATAGGAAGGAGGAAAAACAGAATGACCTTGTGCAGGATGTAGTGTAACAGTGTAATAACAGTTTCTATTGTTAGGAAGATTTTAGTGCAGGAATGCATGCAGGCAGCTCATGAAAGATTTACAAAACTTGCCAGATTGGAGGGGGGGAAAAGGGCAGGGGTTTGGTGAGGCAGCAGAGAAGGGGCTTTGGGAAGGTGCTTTGTAGGAATGGCTGAGTGAGTCCCCATCAGAGACCAGAGGTCTGCCTCGGGTGTATCTGCTGGGTGGAAAGGGCATCAGGCAGCCTGGCTGTGATCCCTCTGCCATTCCCATCTGCAGCTGCCACTGCATGGGCCTGGGGAGAAATCCTAGTTCTCGTCATTTCCAGGAGCTAATAAGTAAACAAATGAGGGAGTTACTTTCTGGAGACTACTCCTCCAGTCTGGCATTTTGGTTCAGGTAATCCTGGAAGTTGTTCCTTTTTCCACTCCACCTGCTCCCCCTACAAACAAAAGAGTTTTCCCATTTTTGCCACCTTTCTGTCTTTCCCTAGAAGATGATCCCAGATTTTTTCTCTTGTCTCTTTTGAATAGACCTGGTGATGCTTTCAAGCTTTTCACACAGCTCTTTCTTCTGCAGAGGAGAATGCTTTTGTGGAGACCCGAGAAAAGTCGCTTAAGGTTCCTTATTCTTGATGACAATTCTGAAAGAACCATCACCTTTTGACTGAGAGGTTGCTATATTTAGTAAAGAGCCCATCTATCTTTCCAAATGTGTTGCTTTAGAAGGAGGTTTAACTTATTTCCCAAGGCCCAGGGTGTAGCAGACAAGGTTTAAGTGGTTTGTGGCTATAAAGAGCTTGACCAATTTCAGTGAAGTAATTTTTCCTCCCATACTCAAGTGTATTACATCTCCTCCACTCCCTGCTTCTATTCCATTGTGGTTCTGAAAAGTGAAATAAAGGGGTGGATGTTGTCAGGTCAGCTGTGTTCTCTCTGAAGTCCTGCTGCTCATCACTGGTAGTTGTGCTCACCTGTCTTATCCTTGGTAGTAATTTCATTATTTTCTTAGAGGTACAAATTAGATGAAAAAATACTGTGTACTGTAAGAAGGATTCATGAATACCTGGTTGAACACAACTCCTGGAATTTCTTGAATCTCCCCCAAGTCCACTGCTTTTCCCAAACATTCTGGCAGCAGCACACTTAAATTCTTCCTTGGTGGTTCTTGCTAGGGTTTCTAGCCTTTTGGATTTAAAGACTAATGCACTGGTAATCTTCTATAATTCTTCAGCCAGGAAGAGAGAGATCTGCCAGCTTTTAATCCAGAATCTTTGAGGTACACAGGAGATTGAGATTAATTTCACCTAATGCATAAAACCTAGGCCTTCCCAAGTATTATGTACCCCTTCCCAAAAAGGTCATCCTCCTTTCAAGAGATATTTAAAGGGCTGCAGCAAACAGTTAGGTCTCCACATAATCAAAAGGAAGGAAATTGTCATTCTCCCCGTGTAGAAGGACAAGTGCTTGGTGCACCCTCACTCACCATGCAGCTGGCAGGAGGAGGTGGGGTGGCTCCTGATTCCTGCAGGAGCCACATACAGTCAAGAGTTTCTTTTTAAATTCTCACAACTTGGTAAATATGTAATGGGAAAAAATTTTAAAAGAGACAGCTGAAACCTTGACATTCCTTTAGTGATTCTGAGAATTGTCATGGCTTTTTAAAGTGGCCTTTTTCATCCTCGTGGTTTTTAATACCTTCTCCCATGGCACCAAGGGGATCTATTAATTTCCCATCACTGTCCCTCTGAGGTGGTTAATATGCTTTTCATGCTGTACTGTGTGGTTTCAATTTTCACTACATTTGTTTCTAGTAGCTTGCAACCACTAGCTTCAGGTTTCTGAAATTCTTATAACGAGGGACAAAAAATGTTCCTTTTGCATCTTTTTGCCTCTTGCTCATAGTAGTAGGAAATAAAAACTTTTCAGTCACTGTGATAGAAATGCAATTAATGTATGTCAGGCAAGAAATACTTTAAATCTTTTAAAGGAGTACTCTGTGGGTTTCTGTGAATTACCATTTGATTTATCAGCTGAGATCAATAACAAATTTCCCATTTCTCTATCACATGGCTACTTAGGAAGAACTGCCAGAATAGACAAACCCGAATTTACTGTCCTCTGTCTAGAGGCAGTGTTGGCAACAAAACATACAGAGCGCAGGGGAGCAGTAAGGATGTTAAATGTACCAGCTGATGAGCTTTTGTGCAAGCTCATCCCCCTCAGAAAAATCTCTGGCTCTTTTCCTTCTTGAGGAAATTTTCCTCCTCTCTGAATGTCATTTCAAGCTGACCCCTCTGCCTTCTAAGTTCTTTCTGAAATGGGATCCCCACATCACCTCTCTTCCAGTGCCACGTGAATTTCTGGACCTTTTTTAAGGTGAGGGGAGGGATGTGTTGTGGTTTGCTTAACACCAGGACAGCAGTGTCAAGCTACTCAGTAGCATTTAAACATTTTAAACAACAGGCTGCTATTGGTCCTTAGACCCATAGACTATGAAGATACTGACTGAAGCTTCAGTAAGTCTGCCAAAAGACTTCTGGACTCTTCTAAAAGGGTTACATTTGTCACAGGATTGCATTGCTCCCTTACTAGATACAAAAGTGTCATTAAAAGAATGACTTTCCTCCTCATTTTTAGCCATCCAGACTGCTATCTATCTATCTATATAAACATATATATATATATAAAATATATATATATATTTATACTTTTTAAAAATATATACTCAGTAGCATATTCCAGTGGCATTTGTTATCCCTGAGCCCTACATTTCAAAACAGGGAATTCAAGGCATAGAGCAGAGGAGTTATATGCTCACAGTAAGGCAGCAGGTCAGTGACAAAGGCTGATTTCTTGTCTCCTGGCTCAGGCTGCCTTCACAGATTCACTTAGCATTAACTGGCAGGGGGTGGAATTTTTATTGTCAGAGAGTTGAGTAATTGCACATAATAGATTATTTTCTCCATGCAACAAGGAAAAATGGAAAATTTGCAATTTTTTTTTTAAAGCAATCATTATTCTTTAATTTATTTAGCCATATGCCTCAGTGTTTTTCAGTAATTGCTGAAACAAGAACAGATAATTAACCAAGAAGGCAAAAAAAACCATTAAAAAACCCATATTCAGATAAGCTTTCAGTGATGCTTTCAACCTATTGGAACAGGCTTTTGAAAGGGTTTCACAGCTTATTCTCCCTCATGGCTGAGTATTCAGCAGCTCACAACAGTCTGAGGCTTCCACAGAGCTCAGCCCAGGCGAGAACTGAGCTGTGAGAGCAGCAGGATGACCCTGCTGGGATGTGGCTGGGGAATGATCCCATATTGTCCTTCTGGGGGCACCAACTGATGCTGCTCTAAGCTCTTCACAAAAGTAGGAAGGTGTTTTTTCTCCAGAGGTGGTCTTAGAGAATGGGTGTGGCACTTGGAGTTAAGTTAAATGAGAATAAACCCAACTGTGTTTAAATATATTAAAATGCATTAATAACATGGTGCATCCAGATCTGTTACATTGTTAGAATTCCCTGTATATTCACACCCTCAATTTAAACTCTAATTGACATTTTCTTTGTAATGAATGTTATGATTGTGTATTAAGTGGTGTATCTGAAAAGGGGAAAAATGTCCAGTTGGGGAGAAAAAAAATGCCCTTTCTAGGCTGTGCCTGAGTGGTGCTGGACCTTCATTAAAATTTGCTGATCAGCATCAGAGCAGCTTCTGGCATCCTGATGCTCCTCAGCTGCGATGAGGAAAGTCTCTGTGTGCCACTGCTCTAGCCCACATCCACCTGAAACAAGGATGCAGCAAAAGGCTCAGCTTATCTCTGCTCTTCATGATGTACTTCATACTCATGGTCTTACAGGCCATTCAGGCCTTCAGTTTTGTACCATGAACAAACTCAAAAAAGGACAGAAATGGCTTTTTGGCACTAGCAAGCCGTTCTTTACATAGCTCAAATTGATTTATTCAGGTCAGAAATCAAAGCCAGTTTCATTTCTGCAGCTGGCAGGATAACTATTAAAGTTTAAAACCTCCACCGATGTGAGTACCTTAAAAATCATATTTCTGTCTGAATATTTTATCTACAACATTTACAAGTGACATCTAAGATCATGGTAACTGAAAGTAATGGGAGTGGAATATGTTTCGTCTTCTTATTTCAGTTGTGTTTACTTCATGCATGCAGCACCATTTTGCATGTTGCCACTCACAGCTTTGCCTTCAGAAGCACAAAAACAATTATTTTGTGTTTAACATGGGTATTTCAATCAACAGAATGAGGGAGAAGAGCAGTGGAGAAAAAGTTGAAGAGCTGTTATTTTATCTAGAGAATTGGTCATAAGTGTGACTGGCTGCACTAAAAGTACATGTAACCTATTTTTAAAAGAGAATATTCTCATATGACTTTCCTTTTTGATCTCGCTGAAGTCTACAGAAATGCAGATAGAAATAAGTGAGAGTCAGAAAATAATGGTCTGCTGTTTTAATGAGTAACTGGTCTTTTGTTAGACAAAACTAGTAATTATGAAGAACTATCTTTTGAAAGAATGCTTACTATCCTCTCCATGAATTTTATGCTATTGTACCATAACAAACATTTTTCACCATGGTGATTTTTTTTCTAATATTTTAATTTGTATTTTCTTTCTAAAATATGTCATCATGTAATCGCTGCCATGATACAAATTTACTTTAAAGATAGCATGGATCTTTAGGTGTCTAGTACTAAAAATAAAAAGCAAAAGGAAAACAGGCCTATTAGTTTTAGTGCAGGTCCTTGTAATGCAAAGTAAAAAGTCTGAAGAGGGCTTTATTTTTCACACCTGAGTGGAAATGTGACTTAACCTCTTATATCTCTGAGATATTGCCCAGTGGCCACCAACAACATGGAATCTTCTAACAAGCCCAAGTGCAGCTTTTTCTGTATTTCAACTGTATGGCTCCATACTGGTTGAGAGACTCTTTTTTCTTTTTTTTTTTCTTTTTTTTTTCTTTTTTTTTTGTTTTTTTTGTTTTGAAATTGCAGTTGAATCACAAAGCAAGAAGAACAAATCTGTTCTTCATGTCTAGTGTCTGCTTTGCAGACCTTTGTGTCTCACTCTGTGCCCAGAGACTGCCCTACGCCCACACCTGCCACAAGAAGAATTATGTTTACACTGTTCTTACTAGCACAGATACTCCCAGGTCAAAAGTTTCAGACTGGTTCAGAAAGATATCTGGCTCTGTGGATAGGATTCAAATATTTTTCTTGCTTATCTGATGACACAAGTGCTGTTTCAGTTTGGTTTTCATAGTTGTACTTGCTGATGATGAATGCAGTGTTTGACTGAAATCACCAAAGGACCCAAGAAGTTGCTGGCTATCCTCTGTGATGTGTTTTGTGATCTGTCTCTGCATGGACAGCCACAAAAACAGATTTCTAGTCAAAGGGATCATTGTTCCCATCATTGTGGGCAGATCAGTCTGTACTTCTGCTGCTAGGGCTGATATCAGTGTTTTGATGTGCAGAACTTAATGGGGGTAATGGTTACTAGCCCTTTCTGCTGTGTAAACAATACTGAATGAATGTGTTACTTGCAATGCCTCATTTTGATTTTAAAATGCACTAGAGCACTTCTTACCCTGCTCTGATATGAATTCAGAGTGAATAGCATCAACAATGTACTTTGTCTTGTGAGTATTAATTAATTTTATTCTCTCTGCCGCAGTATTCAAAGCCAGATAGGCACCCGGGGCCCATTCTGCACAAAGTTATGGAGTCTAGTTTTTCAGGCACCCAGTCTTTCCCAGAGGCCTTGTCTCCTGACAGAGGAACCCAGCCCATCAAGCACCACAGGTGAGCAAGCATCTGTCTGTGAGAGCTGCCTGGAGAGGCTGTGGAGCTGCTGATCCGTGCGCAGGGTTATGGTGTGCTGGGTCTGGGTGAGCTGCTGAGTGCCCTGGTGCCAGCAGAGCCTCAGCCAGCTTATTAACCAGATGTCCAAGCATTTTCTTAGCTGCAGACATAAAAGGTAATAGGGATGCTCACTGCCTTCCTCTGTGGGTCGTGCCAGTCCTGCAGGAAGCATTTACAGACACCATCCAAGCTGCAGGCACAGCCCAGCCAGTAGAACAGCTGGAGGAGGAGGAACCATTAAAAACAAGACTTCTCTTATCAGTGTTCATGAACTTAATGACTCATTGCTGCAGAAAGACTTGGTTTCAAACTTCCAGCCTTTTTTAATGTTTCCTTAAACAAAAGATACATGAAATGAATAATGACTTATTTATGAAAACATGGTGGCCTTTGAAAAGTTTGGATGGTTGTTTCCAAGAGAAAAAAAAAGAGGAGGAATGTTGCCCATCACTGGATGAGATTCAAATTAGAATTCTGCTTCTAACTTTTCTTTGGATGAGAAAGATTGCAGGTGCTTCATTACAGGACTAGAAACCAAACTGGAGTCAGGTACAAACAATAATGTTGGTGGAATGACAGTGGTAACATCTGGTCCAGTGCACAGAGAGAGAGAAAAAGGAGTTTGGAATTTTTTCAGCTAGATAATCTGGAGTGGAAGACATGTTTATTAAAAGGATTTTCTTTTTTATTTACTTTTAAAAAAAAGTCTGGGATTGTATGAGGTTATGATCTGGCTTCTGTAATATTTGGTGCATTTTCAGTGCAGTCTCCCAGCCAGCTATGTTTTTTTTTCTCATTTGAGTAAGTGATCTGCTTAACCTACAAAGTGCCACATATAAACCAGAAAGGGTTATTTGGGTTCTATCTACTTTTACCTTACTTGAGCCTTTAATTTGGCATGAAAAAATAATGCCAGTTGTCATGTCGGATCCATTTCTTAGGTCTTTTTCCTTATTACACAGAAATTTTCAAAACAGGCTTAATAATTTTATTAAACGTAGACGAATTGTGGGACTCTTTCCTAGAATGCATTCTACAGAATTTCTGGGAAGAATTTTATCACCATTTAGTCACAACATGAAGTTCAGAAAAAATTTATTCCCTTACCTTTTAATAGTGTAATCACACTATTATATCCAAGAAATGTCCAAGAAATGTCTTTGCTTCAGAACTCATGTAAGAAGTGGGGTGACTAATTAATTTATAAAGAATTCTTTTGCAGTTTTAAGGCTTAAAGTTCATTATACAAGGCCCTTGTTTTATAAAATGTGCAACAGACTTGAACGTTTAAGACTTACAAGACTGTCTTTAATTTATGTACCATGTAAGAGCTTCCTAATTTATTTTCTAAATAGTGTTCACTGTGGACAAATGGTCAGATGTGGTCAAATGAAGATTTTATACTAAATATCTTTTTGTTTCATTCCAAACCTGACTGAGCCTGGAAAAATTATATCAGCTCTGCAGGTTCTCTCTTTTATGCTGTTCTAAATTCTGTTGTTGTTTTATTTCTGCTTGCTGCAGAAATACTTTGCTCTACATCCAGACCTGTTTTCTCTGCTGGTGTTTTCAAGAACACTAATGATGGGTGATCATTTCTTAAAATCAGGAGCTGGCTGTTTCCAGGTCCTGAAACTAATAAATTTTGGCCTGGAAGTAAGACTGTCAGTGTAGGGAATCATTTGGAGTTGCTGAAATGTGACTGACAGAGACCAGCTAATTATTTCATTCAGTTTATGAATAATAGCAATTTTTTGTCTCAACAAACCTCAGCTACACAAAAAGAATTAATGCAGAGATTAAGTTGAAAACTGAAATTTAATCTCAAAAAATATTTAGCCTGTGTTATTATTAATCTGCTAAAACATTTTGCCTGTGTTGTGCACTGCTGTTACCATAGAAGAATGTTACATCTTCTGCTTGCATATGTAAAATAACTCTTAGAACTGTCAGAATTCAAAATTAACAAATGTGTTTAATCAGTAATTTTCCTACAACGTATACAATGTGCTCAAAAATTTGTCTTGGATGATCTGTTGATCTTGGTAAGAAGGAAACCCATACTGCCTTATTTTCTGATAGATAGAAATAAATTAGAGTTTTGTTAATTATGGGTTGAGTTGTGATCCCTTTGAATAGCAGTTTCCTTGGTAATTAGTCATCCTGACTTTCATTCATGGATGCAGTCATCCTTGATTTTAGAGGGATTCATTTCAGAGAATGCCATGATGAAAGCCAAATGCAGAGGCTTTCAGCCTGGAGCAGTTGTATTGTCTTACAAAAATGCCAAAATAGGATAAACTTACCCTAAAATTAATAATAATTTGTGTGTTCATTTTTAATGAACTCAAAAAAGATTTTTTTCTTCATTTGGTAAGCATTTACTCTTTATGCTGGTAATATAAGTGATTCAGTTTACAGTAGAGGAAAGAGTAAATTAAAGTTATTCTGTAAATAAGACTATTGAATTTCAAAGAGCAAATATAGATAAACTAAAGCAAATAGGAATGTAAAGACAGAGGAAGCCTGAAAGGAAGAAGGTGTGAGGAATCTGCTCTTTTCTCAAAGAAAAAGCAAAACAGATGGTGGGACATGGATAATAATTGAAGCAGTTAGGGAAATCCTGAATTAATAGGTTTCATTTTTTAATGAAAAGTTGGGATGAGGACATTTGTCCTCCTATCTGAGGACAAAGGTAGAATATGAACAGAATCAAATGTATGAGAATAGACACTCCTACATTCCAAGTGGAAGTAAAATATAGAAATCAAAGTTCTCAAGATGGTTTGGTTAATCTTGATCAAAAAAAAAAAGTTTGGAAGAAGAACCAGTTCACAAAATTTCATGTCTGGGAGCAAAATCTATAAAAATAGGAACTGTGACATGAGATGATGGATTAGCAAGTGTAAAATATTTAGGAAGATGAAGAATTTATCAAAGTAGGAACCAATGATGCTGAGTCTGAATAGTCAAGATTTTAGGACAAATGTGGGGGAAGAAGATTCTTGCGGGAGACATAAAACAGGCAAAAAATGGCTTTCTATCTTATCAACATCAGGTACTGCACCATGTGCACTGGTGATTGCATGTGGTGGGGGTGAGTTAGAGCTCTGCACAAGCTCAGTCACTGTTGTCATGTGTCTTTAAATGCCTTTAAGGGAAGAAAGTCAGGAGGGGCAGAAAAAACTTTTAATGTGCATGCACAGAGGTGCTTAAAAGGCAGATACGAAGGAGCTGTGTTGAGAAGGTAGGACAGTCACCAGGGCAGCACTCAAAGAATTAGTCAACACTGGGGACAGACTTTTTTTGTGCCAAAGTCACTGAACAAAGGTAGAAGACAGCGTAGTGTGAGAAGGCACCACTGTTATCTCACCTGGTTAAAATGGCTTGGCCTCCCAGTTGCCAGGGACTCATATTGCATTCCCAAGCCAATTTGAGGAATGAATGATTCATGTTCTGTGGAAAGTGTTACAAGTCTGTCTTATGTCAGTCTCCAGGAGACTGGAAAGGGTGTATGACTGCTGCTTATGAATACATGAGAGCAAGCACAACGAGAAGTAAAAGGCCTGTTTAAAAGGAAGGAGTGTGGTGGCACATATACCTGCTTGAATATTCATCAGAATTAATTTTAAGCTGCAAAGAAGTCTCAAAGTTTTCAGTATAGAACAACTTTCTGCACTAGTAGCCTGGATATCATCATCAGTTTAGGATGGAGGTTGATCAGTGCACTACAGGAAGTATATGATGAGGTTATGGCAGATGATGAAACTCAGTGCAGCTGACATACCTTGAATGCTCTGCTCCCTTTTCCTGTTGTTCTGTCACCAGGATGGTGACCAGATGACGCAGGTAGCATTGAAGGATTTTCATAGAGTTCCAAAGTCCCTGAGTAGCCTCAAAACAGACTATTCCCAAATACAAGAATGTTATGAAGGAGTCAATAATGCTCACGTTTCAGAAACCAAGAGGAGATTTGTAGCTGTAGACTCTATTTATTAATACTGAAATCAGTTGAACATCTCAGTAGTTGATCCATACAAATGTTAGCAGCACATTGTCTAACAGCCTAAAAAGGTGGCTTTGAGGGAGTATCAGAGGACCCTGCCTGGCAGCTGGTTCAGCCATTGGGGTATGTATTTACTGGGGGGTTTGTAATTAACTCAGAAGTAGTACAGAAGGATCCCAGAGTTACTGTAAAGACACTGCTGGTCTTCTCTTCATGAACATGGGTGGCTGCACCTGGGAGTTGTGTATGTGCCCCAAGAAGAGAATACTCCCCTGTAGGTATAAGACTTTGTTTTCACTCAGTTGCTCAACCCAGAGAAAATTCTCACACAAAACAACTGGCAAGAATGAATCCCAAGTTCTTCATTAACCTTAGGATAGTTGAAGTGCTTTTTTCAAAACATTAATTCATAAGAACTGTATTTCTCCCTAGTTTATGTATCACTTGTGAACCACTTCATGCATATTCTTATTTTTTAATCTGGAGTAATTGATTGATAGATTTTAAAGGCATATCTGCTACAGCTTTATGTATTGGTCTATTTTATTGAATGGCTCACTTATATGGGCTGGTTTCTTTTACCCAGTTAGAGTGGAGTGCAGGGAGGAAGAAACCACAATGTTGGCTAAAGGAAAATAAATTCCCGGAACAAATCCAAAAAACATTGTTTGCCTGAGAGGAAGATATTTTTCACATGAGCAATAGAGAAGTCTGAGAGGGACATTACATTTGCATTGCTGATATTTATATCAGTTTTGTGTAAATGGAAAAGCTTTGTGCTGGAGATCCTTTTCCATAGAACTTTTAACAGAAATTCTTAAGGGGTTTTTTGGTGCCTGGAGAAACAACTGTTATCCTGCACCTTGCAGCTGCACTGTCTGTAAGTATTTCCTGATCTTTAGTGATTTTTTTCTTGTCCATGACCTCAAATGATTTTTGTTCATTTTTCCTTCAGTTTTGTTTTGTTTTGGTTTTTTCTGACAGAAATGTTGAAAGCATAAGAACCTCACATTAGCAACAAATTGGACTGTCAGGGCTGGAAGTTCTGTGGCTGCAGGACTGTGGCAGATCCCTTTGGTCTCAACATTTCTGCAGTTTATACCCATTACGTTGGGTTTAGCTGTATGTGTTGAAATGATGTCTATTACAAATAGAGCTTTTGTGAATTTGCATATGGAGATCATGTACACTCATCCAACAAGGAAGATGCTGAAAGGCATCAAACCAACCACAAATCAAACAATAAAAGTTTCTAACTTTAAAGATTTGTAATCAAACTAAAGTTTGATTTCTTTACTTTTGGATTCCATTGATGACTATGCGCAAGTCAATAAAACCCCCAAAAATTCATTATCCATCACAATTTATTCATTCACCTGCATCTTTTGAGATCCCCTGCCGTATTAATCTCAGGCTCTCCTGAGCAGAAATTGTCAATTATTTTGTGATGTGGTAGTGTTATTTTACAGAGTAGGAATTGTAACTAGCAACTCAAACTCAGCCTTCAGAACTGAGGCCAGTATTTCAGGTTTTTAAATAGATTTTTTTCACAGCCTCCTTAGTAGCAAAGGAAAAGTCTTTTTAAACAAGCATGAAAAATCCTGGAGGGAATGTTATTGCCGTGGGTTGTTGGTCTTTTCAATAAAAAGCACTAGAAAAGGTGTGGAAGAAAACAGAGGTTAGACTGCAACAGAACGCTGCTAGCCTGAGCAGCAGGATAGAGAGTGTTGAATTTATTTCTTTTAATTATGGGCAGAAAATGTTGATTTTAGTGGAAATGTACACTCAAAGAGAATTTGTCCAAGGTACTTGTTCCAAGTAAGAATTGCTTTGGGAGTAGATGTGGCCCTAACTATAATTAAAGTTCCCACTAGGTAAAAAATGCAGATTACTTTTAAGTCACATTATAATAGGAGAAAAGAAGCAAACTTATCAAAAGTCTTTTGCGTTGCGAATTCTGTCACAAGTTGGAATTATTCACACACCCAAAAATAATGACTCGTAAAAGGCATCTACAAAACCTATGTTAAGTTATCATTAAAGATGTAAGAGAGTATGAGGTAACACATGCATTTCTGAGATCCAGAAGATGCCAAGAGAAATAGAGGAGCTGAAAAATGAATATTCAGTCACGCCATGCAGTGCTGAGACTTGTTAGCAGTAAAAGTGGGTTCTGCCTTGCCTTAGTTCCATGTTCCCATGTTTTTGCATTAGCAAGTGTGTGGCTTATGTACCAAAACTGTGGATTCTAGATACTTTTTCATTCCGGTGTGAAATGGAAAAAAAAAAAAAAAGAATCCATTCTCCTTCCAAAACACCAGACATTTACAAAACCAATTTTCTAAAGTAAGTAGAAAACTGGCTTGTTTTTATCAAGTTCAGGTTTCTATTATATCATATAAAGAAACAGCATGGTATCCATGTATATAAACAACAAAGCAATCTGTATATAAAACAGGAATAAAATAATACAGAAATACTGTTCAAGGTGGAGAAATCTTGTCTTAGCTTCTTCAATCTGCAGTTCATAAGCTTTGCTTATATTCTTCACTTCCACTTTTTCTCAATTTAATGGTTTTGTATCAGGAAGCAGCACCTCACAGGCTGATAGATAATATATTGGGCTTTTAGTTTAGGATCTAATTTTGAATTCAGCTATGGGTATGAGAGAGCTGTATTGTTTGTTTATGCTGTCTGAGGACTCAACTCTATAGCAGGATTTTGATATGCAGCATGGAAAGGAGAAGCATCCTTCATCAAGTGCAAGAAAACATTTCATAGTGGGCAATTATTTTCATTCCTAGAAAAGAGGTGCTGTACTAAATAATGGCATAAACAGCAGCTAATGTTGGATTGTACTATTATATTTCCATAGAGAATCTCTACTGACATCATAGACTGCCACAGCAAAGTTTATAAGAACAGTAATCCATGCATTATTAATCCTCAACCTGTACTTTGCAAAATTTTGTGCTTTTGGTGTGATAATTTTTACTGTACTCTTGGTGTTGTTCCTAGAAGTCTCTCTTCATGCTGCAGCCCAGGACAAAAAAGTGGGATGCTCCATAGAAATGCCTTTCGGAGGACTCCTCCCTTGCCTCGGGGTAGGTTCAATGGAATTACAGGACCAGCATATCAACAGCTCCAAGAGTCGAGGATCACGGACCAGGACACGATACCTTGTCACGGGTGAGTAAAGCTACTCATCCTGCAGTGAGCCACTGAGGGGCTTTTAAAATAAAATAATGCACCTTGCAAAGTTGGTTTTCTGTAGATAGCTTCATACAGGTTTGTCTTCGAAAATGCACAAAGAATACGCTGGTTTTTCTTTCCTTTCTAAATTCAGTTTATTACAACACTGAGCTGAGGTGTACATAAGGTCTGGGTTTCAGAAGTGCTCCTGAGAACCTGCAGCTGCCTTTGAAGTCTTTTGCAATTGATGAGATACTTTGCATAATATTTACATATCCCTATAGATTTCCAAAGACTTTCCAGAATATTGCAAGCGTATTTTATATGAAAATAGGAATGATATCTGGAATGGAATAAAAACCCCACCCAGTTTCACATGTAAGTCACAGTGAAACTCTTCACTCTGATTTACAGGTGAAACTGGTGGGGTTCGGTGTCTGGTGACTTCTTTTCAACAAGTTTGACTCACACTTGTGTCATTGCTACTATTTGCTTCTGAGGAAAAAAATGGTTTGTTGCCTCTTGCAGTAAATATATTATTGTCCATTTGTGTGATATGTGCATATAATTCCTGGTGAAAATTTCCTACTGAAATTGCCAGCCTTGCAGAAAGGAGCAGGCAGGCAGCCTTCCCTCTCCAGTGGCAGCATCGTATGATGCAGGCTCTGGGAGGTGCCCCAGCCTCCTCCCGGCCTGAGGAGTGAGGGACAGAAATTACAGTGGGTAATTGTATTTACTCTTGTCTAGGAAATCATGTGTGACCTTACAAGTATCAGCTTGTACTGGCCTGTATTTTAAATTTGCAGTTCTGCAAAATTTGATATTGGGACCACACTGTGACCCCTTCTGGCCTCAATCCACTTAAGCACTTCATCTGTATTTTGTGCACTAAGGATGTTTACCCTCTACATATCTGCTGGTTTCACAGTGTTGGTGTTCTCGTCAGATTTCCAGCCCAAATGAAACGTTCCCTTGTCCCCTGCAGAACTTACACTACTTCCTTTCTTCTTTTTCTCCTCCATCTTTCCCTGCTGGGATGCACAAATCAAAGTGGTTTGTCTCCCTAATTCTGTGAGCGTTCTGAACTTCATCCACCAGCAGCCTGGCTGAAGTGTAGTCAGGTCTGCAGGTAGAAGATGAGGGTGTGTGTATTCAGAGTAAGTGCTCGCAAGGCTGCCCCAGAGCCTGGCAGAGACCCTGGAATGATTCCCATCCATATTAATGGACCTTGTTGTCAGGCTTGTACACTGCACACCTTCAGCCACAGGGCTTACAGCAAAGCTGCTGGGATTATGCTAAGTAAAAATCCATTTCATATTTTAAAGTTTCAGTCCCTTCTGTCTCTCTTTGATATCTGTTCTTAAAGGGGGCAGTAAAATTGTTGCGCTTCTATCAGTTTCATTCTTTAATTTAGACTCTTACATGCTCTATAACATAATTATTGTTAAATATTTATAAATGTTTGCTTTTGTTGCTTGGTTTTAGGAAGAGGGTGGAGAGAGAGCTGCACTTTGAAATACATGCACATGAATTAATTTATTCAGACAAAATAATTTTTCAGATAAAAACACAGATATATTTCTTTGGAGGAACTGTGGTTCTGGGAAAGTTAATTATAGGAGAATGTAATTAAGGTTCTGCAATTATAGTTCTAAGTCTCAGTCTATTGAAAACAGCAGCAGTCTGGTGTCACACACAGAAGCATGGATCAGTTTGTAATTAACTAAAAGCCAAGTCTCACATGGTTTAGGTTTGATATCCCTTCGAGTTTAATACCTTACCTGTTGCACACAGTGTATGCGCTTTAATTCAACCTCAGTTCTCCTTTGAAAGCCCTGTGAGCACGGGGCAGAAACACGTAATTCTGGCATAAAATTGGTATGTCTATCTGTATTTAAAAAAAATATTATGGAAATACACCAGGCATTTCATTACATGTCACTGCTGCTGCCAGTTAGTTTTCAAAATACCAAGAATCTCTATTGTGGAACTGGCAAATGTTACTGTTTTCTCACCAAACCCATTTTAATTCAGTCTTTTCTTGGTTTTGCTTATATATCATCCATATAATACCTACATTGCATGTGAAATTCATTAAAAACATTCACTCCCTTTGTTTTCAGGGTGCAGCCCAGAATATATTTAGGGCCTGAATTACCAAAAAAGGGACTAATGCAACTGATGCGATCTCTCCAGCTATAGTCGTTTGAACAATTATATATAAGCAAAGGAAACAAGAATGGGCACAACCCAAAGGTCTGCACTGTTTTGTTTTCATTTATTTTTTTAATTGTCCTCCCTCAGGAATAAAACCCCTGATGAGTATTTCATTCATCCTGAGAGCTGGTGTAAAAAGCCCCTCCATGAATGGCTGCAGGTGTGTCTGGGCATAGTGCCAATGTAATGAACCAAGTCTCAGATGTGAAACACCTGCAGAGCACGGACAGGAAGGTCCAGCACACGTCCCAGAGAGCTGCTTGCTCTGTTGTTCCCCTGGGTGCCACTTCCCAGAGTATCTCTTTCCCTCACCTGGCAGCAAAGTTCCCAGCCCTTCCTCCTTATCACAGAGCTCCCAGATGCACCTCCTGGGGATGCCAGGAGGTTCCTGGGACGGGGCTGTGCCAGCTCCACGGGGGCAGGGGGATGTGTGCAGCAGCTCTACAAAGCCAGTGCCACCACACACCGGTTAATTCCAGGTCAGTGGCACTCTGCTGGAAATGAGCCTGAAGTTGTCTCCTGCTCCCCCCTGTCTGACACCTAGTCAGGAGCATGGGGCCAGAGGAAGCCTTTCCAGTTAATTACTGTTTGTGCCAGTACTGGACCACGGCAGTTTCCCACCATTCAGTTTCTCTTCCTTAACTCTTTTCCTGCTCATCCCAAAAAGCAGGAGGCACATATGAATGGAAGGATATTCCTGGTGAGGTCCAACAGGCTTAAGGAGCATTTGGAATAATACCCTTCGAGTCAGAGCACCTGCTTCCACACCAGATCTAAATGTTGCTCTCCTCACCCATGGATAAAACATATTAGATTCACCATTACCTTGCCTTATTAAATAGTGATAAGCTGATTATAAATAAATTATGTTCTGGTACTGAGGTGATGTCTGTGGTCCTTAGCAACCATGACTGGTAATACAGTAACTGCTAGAGCACCGCATTTCTAGAAGTACTAATTTCAGATGGGAAACATCTTTTGTTTTTTGTCATTGTTTATTTTATATTTATTATCCTTTCCATTTCTGGGGTTTTTTTAAGTATTGCTTGTAAACAAAACAGAGTTTGGCTTTGAAACAAAATGGAAATATTGATACAAATTCACTAAGTTGCCTCACGATCAATAAAATCATGTTGATAATATGTGTTAGTGGACGATAAAGGATTTTTTTTTTAACAGTATTACAGTATCAAGAGAACACAGACATTTGCTCAAGTCCTGTATTTCATCTCTATTTCCAGTTAAAATCTAATAAAACAAATCAGGCCAGCATTATGGGTATGGGCTATTGAAAAAAAAACCAACTTATTCAGAGGCACACTGCACTTAGATGCTCTGCTTGTTTGAAGGGGAGTACAGACAATTATTCCTATGTGAATAAAGACTACACAGCCATGAGTGTTTAATGCTCTTTTCATCTGCACTTTTTTAAAGTGTTTTCCTAAATCAACCATTTGACACTGAGAGTTCTGACACTGAAGAAAGTATCAATCCATTGCCCTGATCAGAAACGTAGGAATAGAATTCCAAATTTATTTTCAAAGAAAACTATTAATACATTATATTACGTCTGAAATATAATACATATTGTATTATATACATATAATACTTCTGAAATGTTTTGAAAAGAAATTTCCGTTATTCTCCTATACTGGTGGGCAAAATGAGACTGAGAGAAGAGCAGTGCTTTGCCACTGGCAGATTGGAGAATCAAAACCAGAGCCTGTCGTTTTCCCCAGGGCCCCACCACGGCCAAGTGCTCCTCTATTTCAGGAGAAAATGGTGTGTATCTCTTCAGCACAGTTCACTGAATCTCACACAGTGTCCCTGCTGCTGGTTGCTCTGACCACTTGATGTGCAACGAGAACTCTTTTTTTTCTCTTTCCAGGTATTCATCCAGTGGTTTAAAAACTCCTCAGAATCCTTCAATAAATATGCAACTGCCTTCAAGAGAGACAACCCCATATTTTAATAACGTGGATCAGAAGGACTTGGTCAGCTATTCCTCTTCAAGGGCCAACTCCGTTCCCATCATCCCGTCTGTGGGCTTGGACGAAGCCTGCATGCAAATGCAAAATGTTCCTGAAGTAACAGGCATCAAATGGTGCAAAAACTCCTATTCTGCTGAACTTGTCAACGTGAGTTCCCCAGTCAGTAATTGTCTAATAGCAGAGCAACACGAAGTGAAAGTGCTGCTGGAAACTGTGCAGGAGCAGATCCGGATGCTGACGGACGCGCGGCGGGCGGAGGACTTGGAGCTGGCGAGCGTAGCGGCGCAGAGCGGCGCCAGCGAGAACACGGCCTTCCTGCCCATGAGCCCCACGGCCAAGGCAGAGCGGGAGGCACAGTTTGTCCTGAAAAGTGACACGCAGAGAGACTCGGTATTGGCCAAGTGACTCCGTGTGGGGCTTGCGGGAGGGGAAACGAGAGGTCCGTGCATTCGACGCTTTGCTAAACAGGAAGGGAGGAAGTTAAATACAAATTATTTATATGCATTAATTTAAGAGCATCTACTTAGAAGAAACCAAATAGTCAATCGCCCTCATATCATAGTGTTTTTTAACAAAATATTTTTTTAAGGGAAAAGTTCCAGGAGGGATGAAGCGTGCTTTTAGATGCTTTCTAGGCAGGATTACACAGTTCCAGTTCCAGAGGACTTTTCCGTGGTCCTGTTCGGCTGTCCGAAGGCTTAGGCTATGCATCTCTTTTTCAGTAAAGGCCAGGTACCGTCCGTAGATGCGTTTCTGGTTTCAGGGCAGCGCTGCAGTGAGCTGCTGGGCAGGGATTCAGACCCTGGAGAACATGTCCTGTAAGCCCAACACAGATCCAGTCCCCTCTCCCCCTCTGCTCTTGATTCCAGGTTCACACCACAAAAACAGGCACGCAGACACCTAGTTCTGAGTTCTGGTACCTGCTGTGGAATGATGACAACGTCCCTGAATTGAGCAGATGCTCAACTCTCAACCTTAATTCGATGTGTCAGTCGCCCCAACAAAGTCAATGGAATCATTTATGAGCTTTGGGATTGGCCAAGAGTGGCAGCAGGATTGGGGTCTATAGAGATTCAGTGAGTCCACAGCTGCTGAGTCCATCTTCTGAGCTTTGCCTATCAGAGCTGCCTTGGTGGAGAGTGAGGAAGAACGAGAGAAAATGTCTAAGTGTGTATTACAACAGGTTTGGTTTTGGTTTCTGGTTTGGGTTTTTTTTAAGTGGAAACATAAACTCTGTTGTTTGTTAGCACCCCTCAACATTTCTAAACTTTTACACTTTAAGAGCATTTGTAAGCTCTCAAGGAGCACTTCTCAGTGTGTGTGTATTTTTTTTAAACTTATTTTTTATTATGGCTTGTTCAGAGAAGAGTCAGGGAGATCCAGTATGATCAAAATCCAGCCAGTAAGTGTCCACACTGCCTAATTTACTCCTGCATTCATTTCTCCAGTCACTTTAATTAATTGTGGCTTAGGCTTGTGAACTTTAAAGCTTCAACCCTGCAGATGGCTCAGTATGGGAAGACCCAGAGGCATGCAGAGATCCGACTCTGATGGAGCTTTCTAAGAGCAGATGGTTTCCACCAAGCCGCTCCCTGCAGGGGATCAAGGCCTTAGAGAGGATGTATCATTCCCTGGTTGCCACATCCTAATCACATTATAAGCCCTTTTTGCATTAGCTTTCTTTGAGTCCCTTTTCCCCCCATAAATTGTAACAAAATGTGCCAATTTTGCAATGAATTGGGTTCAGTGACACATCTTACTGGGATTATTAGTGTAAAAATACCTGCTTATTCTTGGGGGGGAAAAGGTCCACTATAATAAATAATCACTAAATACCCTTTCCTGGTTAGTGCCAGGAGATTGATTTTTAAAAAAATAGAGTATATACAGAATGTATTAAAACATTACTTTGAAACAAAATAATTGTTAGATTTATTAATGTGCCCCAGACTTTCTAGTTCACAAGTCTCAAGACTTCCCAAAATAGCACAATCAATCCCACAGTGCTGTTGTATGTTGAGTCAGAATAAAGCAATATCTTAACCTCTGTCAAGTAAATTTGGAAAAGAAATTATGAAGGTGTATGTCATTTTTTTTTTTTTTTTTTGTTAAGGCAGTAAAAAAAAATTATTTTTGACAGTCTTCATTCAGCAAGTCTTATTTTGGGTTGCTTTTGTGGTTTTGGGGGTACTTTTAAAGATAAAGTTGATGAAATTGTCCTGTTTACAGAATTTTCTGTGGCTGCAATCTTTGCTGTGTGTTTTCAACAGAAATGTATTTGAGAGCAAACTATTGTTTTATGCCCCAGGATGGAGCATGAGGTGTTGAGACTCCCTTCTGCAAAGACAGCTCTTGTTGTAGCAGAGAGGGGGGATCCCCCTGGGACATTTTCCTGCCATATGTGGTGGCTGGGCACAATCTCACAGTGCATGAGCTGGCTGTGGGGGGCATGGCCCCGAGCCCACACCAGATAAACCCTCTGAAAGGCAGGGTGCATTAGGTCGGGCTCAGCTTTGCACCCCTACAGTCGTTGGACTTTTCTGTCCACACCACTTGCATCTCCCCGTCCCAGGACATGAGCAAAGGGAGCTTGCCTCTGCCCATAAGCCCCGTGAACATACCTGAATTTTCATGTTGTGTGAAAACTGGATACTATGTAAAGCTCTGATTCAACAATTTTCAAATGGTGATCACAATTAATGAATTGGTCACCATTCATTTCTTTGAGATGATCTTTCTGCAATACAGTGCAGAATCCTGCCCAAACTGATGCTTAAAAATTCAATCTTTTCAATTCAGATGCAAGAACTTCCCTCCCCCAAGCTCTGCAAATTCACCTCTGGCAACATAATGGGAGCACACAGCAGGATTTCAGTTGAAAAAAGCACCATATCATAGGCCATGCCTTTGGGGAGAGAATGTGTTCATGCAGCACCCCCGAAAGACCCAGAAAGAGGAGACGAGCAATGTATTTAAAAGAATGAAATGTTTTACTGAATGATAGCTGAAGATCTGAAATGGTGAGGATATCTTTGGTTCATGTTAGAGATACGATCTTGTACTCAGCAAAGGATGTGTGACTGTTATATGTTAACTGTTCTATTCAGTTCTCAGCATGTTTGAATAGAGAGACGTTAATATTAACCAATGACAGACTAGTGTATTATTTGTTCAGAGCATCGCTTCAGATCTTACTGAAACTGTCATTGTTTGCAGAGGAAAACAAAAAGGGTTGAAAACATCCAACTAGGTAGCCTTAATGTTGTTTGTGTGGTTTTCTAATGCAACTGTTTTCCTCTGTGGATCTTCCTGTTTTACAGTGAATGGGGCAACATTTTCTCTGAGGTCTGACAATTAATTGTGTAAATCATCCATTTGAAAGTCGTACTGAAACAGCCGACATGGCAGGCCAAATTTTGCTTTGCTTCTGGTCCCACTGAACTCATGGATTGGAAGGGATGCAAGTCATTGAGAAATGCAATTCACTCCTAAAAGGGCGTCTGTTCCCAGCCTTGGAGACAGTCTGTAATCCCCCTAGAATAGGCTCTCAACTCAGTCGATTTCATGGATCATAATTAAAAATTTTATCTGACCTATGAAGTTCCAGGTGTAGTCTGGTGTGAAAATTTACACACATATAGCATTGCATTCAAACAAACTGGGAGAGCAGCTGACTGAATAAATTGAACTTTCTCTGAACTGAGCAGAGAGAAAGCCTGTGTCTCCAGCACAACGCCAGGGAGAATTGTGAGAGGTATATATCCTGATCTTTTTAAAAAATTTACTTCTGTTAAGAATTTCTTCAAAAACAATCCAAAATAACCCTAAAAGAAGAAAAAAAAAAAAAACAACCAACCAAACAAACAAACAAACAAAAAAAACCAGTAGAACAATCCCAGCATTTGAAATAGGAGATGTGGGTAAGTATGGGCACATTTGTAGTGTTTACCATTGAACAACTCTTCAGTACCCCAAGGCCCGAAGCTGGAATGTTGTCATTTTTTCAGGCACATGTTTAGATCAGCAGATGTTTTTGTGGAACACGAGCCCTTCAGAATGCCTTTGGTACCTGGCCACGCTCTCAGCTGGTGTGGTGAGTGCAGCAATGGCAGCTTCTGTTAATGGAGGATCACATCCCAAATCCGTGCCGCTTGCTGCCCAGCGTAGTGCCACAAAGCCTAGTAGTCTCCCCTGTGATGTCAGCATTGCTACACAAAAGGATTTATTTTGCCTTTGAGCATCCCAGCAGCGTGTGAGCCCTCTCAGCTCCGTGGCTGGTGACTGGGTTGGGCTGGCAGCTCCATCTGGCACAGGCTGATGTCCCTGGCCAGGCTCAGCAGCAGTGAACTTGTCACCTAGTGGCTGATCCCAAAGCCACTCAGCACCATCCTTCAAGTTCAAATTTTGAAATAAACAGTGACTTGATGGCATGTGCTTGTGACCAAGCATGTGCTCCCAAACTGAAATGTTAGCAGTTAATTCACACCTACTTCTCATGTAAGTAGGGAGAAAATCTGGATTCCTTTTCCCAATTTATCCCCAGGTTCCTGTAGTCTCCTGTTGGACATTACTTGAACGTTTCTTACGCTTATAAGAAATTCTGAAAATGAATACCAAAGAAGAACTCTGAAAGAGTCCTACTTGCAGTAAATAAATTTGAAGCTTGAAGGAACAGACCTGGAATAAAAACTGTGTTTGAAAGTGGTATTAATATCAATTGCCTTTCAATCAAATGAAATTTCCCAGTAAACTCTTTACCCCCTAGTAGAACAATGAGCTTATGAAGTGATTTATTATCTTGCCATGAATTTAAAATGTTTATCTTCAAGGAGATTGGGGAAAAGCAAATATTTGATCTAGATTTTTTGTGATTTATTTTTAAAATTTTATTTCAGCAGCCTAACAGGTCAATGAACCCATTATCTGTATTGTCTGACACATAGTCATAAAGTCTCCTCTTTTGTGGTCCAAAAGCTGCAATGATAGATTTCCTTAAAGAGATCAAGATTTTATCTAATTTTATTTTTAAATTGTTCATAGAATAATACAGTTATTTATCTTGCTGAAAATATAAAGTGATGCAAACTGTTTTTGGTTTTGTACTGCATTATTGCTGAATTCACAGCAAGATTGTGCTTCCTTTGTTTTGATGTCTACTTACAGGAAAACAACTGACACCCCGTTTTCAGGTTTAGACTTGGCACTTCCAAATCATGGTATGAGGCAAGATTTCTGTATTTTCCATAGCTAAGTTCAAACATGATACAGAAATCAAAAAGCTACAACAGCAGTAAAATTACTAATAAAGTAGGCCTGTGTTTCGTTTGGTGTTTTGGGGTTTTTTTCATTTTTATTCCATGGCAACCAGAGGATTGTGCCATGGGAATTGGTGGTCTCTTGCAATA